TATTTAGAGCCTTCAAATATCCTTAAGAGTAGACAGAGAAGGTTCCAAATTTACAGTTAGACATCTCCACAGTTTTATGGCCAGGGTATTTTCTACTGTTCCAATTCTGCTCCCTCTGTTCTGATACTGAATTATATTACTAAGGCACCCATGACCAAGAGGGCTTTGCCTTGGGGGCAACTTCATGAAAGCTAGAATATGTTTTGATTTGTCTCTGTCATGCATCACAGAGCAGTAACATTTACAGTAGCATTATTTCCTGGTAGATGCTTCTCAGATCTTGTGCCACTTTAATGTCCTCCTTATCAAGCCTCTTATCTTACATACTCCTCCAACTCCCTCTCTGACACCTTTTACAAAGTTAAAGAGCTTTTCATATTCCTAACTCTGTCTGGTACCAGGAAGCATGGTCTTATCCACCATTAAGGTAGTTTTTCCTTTCTTCATTTACAGAAAAAAAAAGTAGCTGGCATAAATGCACTCCATTCTTAAGGGAACCAGACTCTTGGCTATTCTGGCTTCAGTGTTGGGTATAGGCAATATGCATGCCACATCTCATGGGGACTGTAGCAGTGATGTGAAAGCCATGGCCAGTTACTTTTTGGGGCCAATAGATGATCAGTTGTAAGAAACAAGAGGAGAAAGCAGTCTAATGGAGCATGGAATGTGGCAGGAACACTCAAGGAAGAGACTCATCATGAGAGAGGCAAAGGATTTTAGATTGCCTTTCAGGGGGATCCCAATTCTATCTTTGTTTATGGAACCAGCATCCCTGGAGCCAGTTTGAGATTAGTGCCTGGCAGAAGGAATCAGGTTTAGTCTATCCCAGGTTTAGTCATTAAATCACCCACAGTCTTGAATCAATTCATAAACTCTCTGTGTCTGCTTTCCCGTGTATAAAATGGGGATAATGTTATATTTACCTCGCTGGACTGGCTGATTGAGGATTAATTTATGTTTGAAGATTATGTGAACCTGGTTCCTAACTTGCATGCAGGACAATTTTCTCTTTCAGGAAGTGGAGGGTACAATTAGGGGATCATATATCTTGGTCTTGCACTGACCAACAAGGAAGAACTGGTGGAGGATGTGAAAGTGATGGGTAACTTGGGAGGAAGTGATCACAATACCATAGAATTCCAGATCCTGAGACAGCGAAAGCTTGAGGCCTGCAAAATGAAGACAATAGATTTAAAAAAGACAGGTTTAATCTGACTCAAGGAGCTAATAGGCATGGTGTCATGGGAGGACAGATTGAAGGATAAAGGCATGCAGGAGGGCTGGGATCGTCTAAGGGATACAGTATTGGAAGCCCAACAAGAAACTGTCCTGACACAATGGAAGGACACGAAGAATGGCAAGAGACCAACGTGACTGCACAAGTCACTTCTAAAATGCCTCAAATGCAAAAGGAAAGCATACAGGCAATGGAAGAATGGTCAGGTCACCAAGGATGTATACCAGGAAATAGCAGGAACCTTCAGGGATAAAATCATGAAGGCAAAGATAAAGAATGAGCTACATATGGCAAAAGAGGTTAAGGATAAAAAAAAAAGAGGTTCTATAAATATGTTGGACAGAAAAGAAGGACCAAGGAAGCTGTGGGTCCTCTGTTAACAAGACAGGGGGAACTCCTAACCAGAGATGCAGAGAAGACAGAACTACTCACCAGTTACTTTGCCTCAGTCTTCACAAAAAAATTAAGCTGCCAGACACCTAATAGGGATTATCTGGATAAGGAAGGGGGCACGCTGAAGGAGGAGATAACAGAAGAGACAGTCAGAGAGTTTTTATTAAGCCTGAATGAATTCAATTCAACAGAGACAGATGAGTTTCACCCCAAGATCTGAAAGAAACTGGAGGAAAGGAACTTGGAGCCCTTGGCAATGATCTTCATGAAGTCATGGGAGACAGGGTAGCAACCAGAGGGATGGAAAAGGGCCAATGTAGTGTCCCTCTTTAAAAAAAAAAGACAAGGAGGAGGACCTAGGGAACTACAGACCAGTTAGACTCACCTTAGTACCTGGGAAGTCAGTGGAGCATATCCTAAGGAAGACCATTTGCAAGCATCTGAAGGAGGAAAGGCTGATTGCACGGAGCCAGCATGGATTTATGAGAACAAATTGTGTCAAACCAATTTGATTTCCTTCTTTGACAAAGTAACTACTTGAATGGGCAGCTGGTGCCTCCTGAGTCTGGGGGGGCACCAGATCACCAATGGGTAGGTGGTCCCCCACAGCCAATCACAGATTGAGGGGAGAGGGATCCCCTGTAGCCAATCACCGAGTGTGGAACCACCAGCAGCAAAACCTTCCAGTTTTGCGGCTGGTGCTTCCAGGGGTTGCACAACCTATCTCAGGGGGTGCACATGCACCCGCATGCACCTCCGACACGTCACCAATGACTACTTGGGTGGATGAAGGGAATGCTGTGGATATAGTGTAGCTGGACTTAGCAAGGCTTTGGACAAGGTCCCATGAGACCTTCTCATCAAATTGGAGAAATATGAGCTGCATAAAACTACTACAAAGTGGATAGATAACTGGCTCAATAGCCACAAGCAAAGGGTAATTATTAATAGGTCCATGTCAGAATGGCAGAAGATTTCGAGTGGAGTCCCATAGGGGTCTGTTCTGGGCTCAGTGCTGATCAACATGTTCATTAACAATTTGGGTGCTGTCGCAGAGAGCTTCTTAAGCAAGTTTGTGAATGACATAAAACTGGGAAGGGTTGCAGACATATTGCAGGATGTGAGCACAGTTCAGAAGGATCTTGACAGACTGGAAAGTTGGGCTAAAGCTAACAGGATGAAATTCAATGTGGACAAATTCAAGGTGCTACATCTTGGTAGGAATAATCAAAAGCACAAATACAAAATAGAGGATACCTGGCTTGATAGCAGCTCAATGGAAAATGACTTGGGAGTCTTGGTAGACTTGCAAGTAGGATGCAGCTGCCCAAAAGGTGGATGCAGTTTTGGACTACATCAATAGAAACATTAAGTGCAAGACATTGGAAGTGATAGTGTCTCTCCACTTCACACTGGTTAAGCGTCAACTGGAGTACTGTGTGCAGTTCTAGGCTCCACACTTTAAAAAGAATTAGGAGAAGTTAGAGAGGGTCCAGAGGCGGGCAACAAAGATGATCAAGCATTTGGAAGGCAAGTCATACAAGGAGAAGCTGAAGGAGTTAGGTACATTCACCTTGTGGAAAAGGTGCTTAACAGGCGACATGATAGCAGTCCTCAAATACTTGAAGGAACACCATAAAAAAGAGGGAAAGCACCTGCTCTTTTTTGCCACAGGGAGGAGGACATGGACCAACGGCTCGAAGTTGCAGCAAAATAAGTTTAGATTAGATATATGGAAAAAACTTCTTCACTCTTAGAATAGTAAGGCAGTGGAATAGACTGCGTAGGGAAGTTGTGGACTCTCCATAACTGGAGGTGTTCAAGAAGAAGTCGGGCAGCCACTGGCCCAGGATGATCTAGGCGTATTTTCTACCATGGGTATTTCCCATGCCCTTGGGCTTTGCTGGTTGCTTCTCCTTCCCCCACCTCTCCTCCTCTTTCTGCTGTATGTGTCAGGGTATTTTTAAATAGGGTGACCATAAGCAAATTCAGGATATCCAAGACACTGCCCCACACCAAATCACCGAATTGAATCACTGTCCTCCAAATTGGCCAAATCCGAATCCAAAGCAACACTCCCAGAGACAAGGAAAACAAGTTTGACCTGAAACAGCCAGTCCAGACTATACACCAGGAGATGAAATGAAGATGCTTGCTGAGGTCAATGAAGTGAATGAGGAAAGTCCTCACCAGAAACCACCAGCTATTTCTGAGACCATTTCTCCCTGCATAATTTTCTACAGCAGTTATAACTAACACCATGCAACTGAAAGCCCTGAAGACAAACCTCTCAAGGAGGAAACTTTGTATTCTTGGGTATGTACACACATACTAACTTTCTCACAGTTAAGCCAATGTAATTTTTAAGTCAACTGAACTGTCAGAGCATACACACATATATGAAGCAGAGTAGACTTAAATGTGGCACAAGATAATACACCTCTGAGTTGTATTATCTTGAGTCGCATTAGCTAAGTCAACTTAATTTACAGCATGGCTGGCACCATGTCAAGGAGCTATACATGTGTATGCTCTGATGTGGCTTAGCTTAAGTCAACTTAGTTAAGTCACCTTATTTTAAGTCAACTTAGTACATGTGTATGGACCCCTTGATAGTGGGCCCACAACTGTAGAACTACCTGCCATTAGAAATCAAGGTGAGACCCTAGTCTGGATTATCTGTTCACACAGCTTTTACTCCAAAACAAGAGTAAAAAGTATGACCACCTACATTCTTTTGGAGCATCTCTAGCTAAGTGACTTTGATGATGGAAGAGCACAAAATGTACACTTTCATCAGTGCAAATAGAAATGAATGTTATGTCAGTACCTGACACTTTCATCATGATAATGTCTCCTAGTTCTCTTCATCAGTAGATCTCAGGACATATTACAAAAGAGGTTGATAACTTTGTCCCTATTTTACTGTGTCTCAGAACAAGGAAGTAACTTGCTCAGAGTTACTCAACAGGCTAGTAGCAGACATAGGTTTCTTGAATCCCAGTCTAGTGTCCTGTCTACTTAGCTACATAGCCAAGAAATGCAGATGGTCACAAGATAAGGCATGCTCTACAATAATCTTTGGTGCCAAAGAGACTGGTGAGTTTGAAAACTCATCTTGCAGGTCTCACCTCAAGGGCATCTGCAGTATATTTCCTATCTTAAGAGACATGCCACACAATCTGGGCACCAGAATGAGTTTTGTCAACCTGTTAAGAGCTAATAGGATTTGGGACTAGTGAATTAAAGGATTGACATGACAACTCATTTGACAAATGACAAAAAAGGCTTTATTTACTACACTATTTACTATTAAATGAGCCTAAAGCAAAGTCCAGTATATTTAGCTGTAAAAGCTATAGTATCTTACCAGTACAGGCAAAGAGGCAGTCTTGGTCTTTTCAGATTCTCAAGGTGTGGATCCGTCACTGGAAGTTCAGCTGAACTCAGTAGCAGTTCTTGTCTTGAATGATTTCTCACTCTTGAAGCATGCCCTGTTAGCTGCTTCATTCCTTTTTTATACCCTTTAGCTCAATGTTTTCAAAGCATTTTTGTAGTTGAGTAAAAAAAAAAATAAAAAAGCCCCAAGCAATAACAAACAGGAAGATCCTGTTTTCAACTATTTGTTATTTGTTATTGGAAAGTCCCAATTTTGACTGAATTACCTTAACCTCTTGTTACTGAGTATCAGTCTCTACTGATTTGGAACATATCAGGAAATTGATTAACAACTGGGAGAAAGACAAAGCATTTTTGAAGAGTTGTCCTTGGAAGATCAAGGGAACCATTGAGGCAAAACACGAGTTAATCAGAAGGAGACAACTATCAAGCCCCATATGGAAAATGTCTCCTCCTGCACATAAACATGGGTTAATTATAAAGAAATATTTACCATAGTAATTAATCAAGGATAGACATTTAACACAGCAAATACCAGACACATAGGAGCCTGCTTAAAATCAGGACAGGTATAATAAGATAAGCTACAAGTGACACCTCATTATTTCTTTTCAGAAAAGCCCAGCTGCAAACTTACATCTCTTTGCACTATGCATTTGTCATTAATATTTTGTAGTTTAATTGTTATGAGCAGACCCAGCTTCACTTCAGTTTCACAGTCATCACAACCCCCTCACCATGTATGGCATACCTTTTCCCAACCACTTACTCATCTCCAATGCCTAAAACTTTCCCAGCTTCCAGAAACATCTGGCTTCTTCTGTCCCATTGAAGTACAGTCATAAATGATTCTTTGGAACAAGAATCAGGCCTGATCTGTCCATATAGGGCATGTGGGGTAGCGGTGGCACCACTTCCTCATGTCAAATTTCCTGACCCATAGGGAGCCCTATGGGCCAGATGACATGGTAGTAGTATATAGGGTACACAGCCTATCAATTTCACATGCCCCTGCCACCATCTTGGAACTAGCTGCCATCTTGGAACCAGAAGCCCTGCCCCTGTTCCTCTTATATGGTGCGAAACATCAGACTTTGTGTGCATGTTGGGAGCATGTGCTGTTCCATACCTGTGGAGCCTGGTCTCTGTCTGTTAACACTCAGTTTGGGCTGTGGATGTGGGGTTTAATTTTGTAAGGTCTTTTTAAAGAATAGGGCCTCTTTCAGACTTGTAGGGTATATACGAAGTTTAATTTGTATTAAAACTTTTTTTTAAATGGTAACTTTTATTTTAAAAATGGAGTTTGGTATATGTATATTTGGAGATAATGGGATTAACTTTATGAAAACACTTTTTAATGGTGACTTTGTTTTAAAATATATACCAAACTCTTTTTGGTATATATTTATTATTTTTGCTTTATATGTATATACTATTTAACTTACTGTATTGTTTGATTTTTATTACAGAGGGCTTATCTAGTGCAAAAAACCACATGCAATTTTACCACAGCAAGGTAAAAATTTATTTTAAAAATGGAGTGTTTATTTATGACTGTGTGAATATAAGTACACTAAGTTATACTACTGCCTGTAACTGTTTGCTTTTAAACTGAACCTGTTCTTGTAAAACAGAACAAATGTATACCTTCATGTCTTTATCTGATAGTAAAAGTTACATTTTCTGAAATAAGCTTTGGAAACTGTGTGTGTGTGTGCACCTGCTTCTTGGGGAGGTGGGGGTGAATTGTGAGTGTAGAGATAGTCTATATGCATTAAAACCCCAGAGAAAAGCCACCCTGTCCAAATACACAGCACTTCAGACGAATCCAACAAAGCTACCCACCAATAAAAGGGACTGGATCCCCACCAACACCAAGAATGGAAAGAAAGGAGATGTAAATAAAACAAGAACCATCCCTTCCTCCCCTCCCCAAGTAATCTAGCTAAAATAAATAGGGCTTGCAGCATGTCCTGAACAAGAAACATTGGTGAGATGGCAAGACCCAGCCAGGAGAGTCTTGACCTCTCATTAAACCTGAGGATACCACAGATAACTGACCAACTCACCAACTGTAGAGACTATCCAGGAATAGATGAAGTTGATCACAGAACCAGTTTTAATGTTATGAAGGACTTTGGTAATAACATGTAAAGTACTTGAATCATGTCTGCTGACAGTTAAGCAATCTGTGCAGCTTGCAAATGGTGGGTATACCAGATACCCTTATTCCTATTTGAAAAACTGCACAATACAACAGCTCCCCTGCAACTACTGGGCAGCTCTCCAGAATAAAAGCTTTTGGCAAAAAGTAGGTGCACTTCCTACCCATGGAAAAAACCCTTTTTAAGACCACAGAAATTATAAGGCAGGTGCTAGTTGCACCCCTCTGAGCACCCAATACAATATTACTCCCTAGTAATATTACACAAGAAAAATCAGAAGCACAGAAGAAATATTGGAAGATTCTTATAGATCTAGTGACAAATTTTCAAAGACTATGAAAGAATTTCATCAGTAGGTAAGAGCTAATACTGGGTGCGTCTACACGTGTAATTAATGCAAAGCAATAAACTCTGGAGCAGTTTGAGTCAGAGTAAGCTACTCCTGGGCACAGCATCTATACATGTGCCTGGGACAGCAGCAATTTGAGCCAGGGTGGAGCAGGCCCGGGCTGGAAAAGTTGCTCGGCCGGGAGGGTATAGTGGGATGCACCCCTGGATCTGCATGGG